GACCCACGACCATTGGTTTGTAGTTCAAGTCGACATGGAGGAACGGGCCATTTTAATGTTTGATAGTCTGAAGGGTCACATTCGCCGTGCAGCGTTGGAAGCTTAACTTTTGCCTCTCAAGGTGCTTATTCCGTTGATAATAAAATCTCATGTCACCAGTGAAAGCAAATATAGTACGAAGAACTTCAAATTTGTGAACGTAAAAGATGTTCCCCAACAAGTGAACGGGTAAGAATGACTAATTTCATAATTAGTAGTACCATATTATCTTGAGTGTTGAAAATTAATACAAAAATTTTACAACTTTTTTGTAGATCCGATTGTGGAATATTCGCCATTAAATTCATAGAATTTCTGCACGCAAGTATGGACGTAAATACAATTCGACCGGATTACGTACTAGTATGGAGAAAGAAACTGGTTGCAGAGTTGTTGGCTTGGGATTTTGAGCCTAGATTGTACTTTGCTCGTATTTTTTTTATATTTTTATAACATTATGTAGTCACTTGGTTGTTTTGGCTTTGGAGTAGCAACTATTTTGGAGTTTGAATATAATTTCAATGTACATATTTTCCATTGTCTTCTATAACTTTAAAATTTAGATATTGTCCATGTCAGGTTGTTGAGTTTTACATGTTCAAGCCTACATGTTTTCCATTGTCTTCCATTGTCATATTGTTGCAATGTAAAATGCACACTGCTATTCTTATTTGCATAACGACTTAGAACTCGTGATGACCATACATAATGACTCCGAAGTCGTTTCAGTTAAAATTGATACTTAAACAATTTAAAACTCGTTCCTGAGATAAAAAAGACATGCATATCGTTGCAATGTTAAATACACACTGCTTCTCTGATTTTGCGTAACGACTTAGAAGTCGTTATGACCACACATAACGACTTCTAAGTCGTTTCAGTTAGAATTAATACTAAAACGATTTCGACTTCATTCCCAAGACACAAAACGACATGAATATCGTTCTAACGTTAAATACACACTGCTTCTCTGATCTTGATTAACTACTTAGAAATCGTTATAACCTCACATAACGACTTATTAATCGTTTCAGTTAAAATTGAAACTAAAACGATTCCTACATTGTTTTCGAGACATAAAACGACATTCATATCGTCTCAATATTAAATACACACTGCTTCTCTGATTTTGCATAACGACTTAGAACACGTTATGAACCTAAATAACGACTTAAAGGTCGTTTTAGTTAAAATTGATACTAAAACGATTTCTACATCATTTTCGAGATACGAAACGACATTCATATCATTTCAATGTTAAATACACTGCTTCTCTGATTTTGCGTAACGACTTAGAACTCGTTATGAACATAAATAGCAACTTAAAAGTCGTTTCAGTTAAAATTGATATTAAAACGATTTCTAAGTCGTTCCTGAGACACAAAACGACATTCATATCGTATCAATGTTAAATACACACTGCTTTTCTGATTATCGTTTCTTCTTGTTCAGAACGACATTGATATTGTTCTAGCGTAATTGTTCCTGAAAGTTGATCCATCTCGTTTCATTAAAAACTGGCCGAGTTCGAAATCGTTTTAGCTGAAATTATAAGTGCAACGACATCGATATCTTTTCTTCACAGTTGAAACGACATTAGTATCATTATGCTTAAAAATGGCGTTTCGACCATCAAATGACTACCGGCATACGTCCCACCGTACGTATGACGATGAAAACAAGTAATCGAGCTGGATCAATCTCACTCGAACGAAAACGTTTGTTATTTCATAGTTGTCTTTCACACTCAGATTGTTTCCATAGAAATAGGATATCTCCGTTGGCTCTTTCGGACCATTCGAAAGCTACCAGCCCACTTGATACGCTCTTTCAATCGTTATACACATTTCGGAGGTATGTGGAGCGGTCAAGGAGGATCGAAACATCATTGTTAGGTATAACGACATTAATGTCGTTTCAACTGTGAAAAAACGACACCGATGTCATTGTACTTATTATTCCAGGTGAAACGACTTCGAACTCGTCAGATTTGTAAAGAAACGAGATGGACAACGTTACGTTATTTCACTACTTGGTACATAATGATATTTATGTCGTTCCTTGTATAATTTTATGACTTCTAACGCGTTTCAATTTATATAACATCTAAAACGACTTCAAAGTCGTTTCTTCACAGTTGAAACGACATTAATGTCGTTATACCTAAAAACTACGTTTAGATCCTCCTTGATCGCTCCATATACCACCGAAATGTGTATGACGATCAAAAGAGCGTATCAAGTGGGCTGGTAGCTCTCGAATGGTCCTAAAGAGCCAACGGAGATACCCTATTTCTATGGAAACAATCTGAGTGTGAAAGACAACTATGAAATAACAAACGTTATCATAGCGTCGTTCGAGTGAGATTGAGCCGGCTCGATGACCTGTTTTCATCGTCATACGTACGGTGGGACGTATGTCGGTGGCCGTGGATGGTCGAAACGTCATTTTTAAGCATAACGATATTAATGTCGTTTCAACTGTGAAGAAACGATAGCCATGTCGTTGCACTTATAATTTCAGCTGAAATGATTTCGAACTCGTCAGATTTGTAAAAAAAAAGATGGACAACGTTACGTTATTTCACTACTTGGTACATAATGATATTTATGTCGTGCCTTGTATAATTTTACGACTTGTAACGCGTTTCAATTTATATAACATGTAAAACGACCTCAAAGTTGTTTCTTCAAGAGCATAATGATATTTATATAGTTATACCTAGAAACGATGTTTCGACCGTCCTCGATTGCTGCACATACCTACGAAATGTATATGACGATCGAAAGAGCGTAACAAGTGGGCTGGTAGCTCTCGAATGGTCCGAAAGAACCAACGGAGATACCCTGTTTCTATGGAAACAATCTAAGTGTGAAAGACAACTATGAAATAACAAATGTTACCATAGCGTCGTTTGAGTGAGATTGAGCCGACTTGATGACCTGTTTTTATCGTCATGCGTACGGTGGGACATATGTCGGTGGCCGTGGATGGTTGAAAAGCCATTTTTAAGCATAACGATACTAATGTCGTTTCAACTGTGAAGAAACGATACCGATGTCGTTGCACTTATAATTTCAGCTGAAACGATTTCGAACTCGTCAGATTTGTAAAGAAACGAGATGGATCAACTTTCAGGAACAATTATGCTAGAACAATATCAATGTCGTTCTAACGAGAAGAAACAATAATCAGAGAAGTAGTGTATATTTAACATTGAAACGATATTCATGTCGTTCTGTGTCTCAGGAATGCGTTTGAAATCGTTTTAGTACTAATTTTACCTGAAACGACTTCTAAATCGTTAGTTTTGGTCATAACGAGGTCTAAATCATTTTTCAAAATTAGAGAAGCAGTGTGTATTTAATATTGAAACGATATGAATGTCGTTTTGTGTTCTAGAAACGAGTTAGAAATCGTTTTAGTATCAATTTTAGCTGACATGACTTAGAAGTCGTTATGTGTGCCTATAACGATATCTAAGTCGTTACTCAAAATCAGAGAGGCAGTGTATATTTAACATTGAAATGATATGAATGTCATTTTGTCTACCAGAAACGAGGTAGAAATCGTTTTAGTATCAATTGTAACTGAAACGACTTTTAAGTCGTTATTTATGTACATAACGAGTTCTAAGTCGTTACACAAAATCAGAGAAGCAGTGTATTTAACATTGAAACGATATGAATGTCGTTTTGTATCCCAGAAACGAGGTAGAAATCGTTTTAGTATCAATTTTAACTGAAACGACTTTTAATTCGTTATTTATGTTCATAACGAGTTCTAAGTGTTACGTAAAATCAAAGAAGCAATGTATTTAATATTGAAACGATATGAATGTCGTTTTGTTTCCTAGAAATGAGATAGAAATCGTTTTACTATCAATTTTAAGGGAAACGACTTGGAAGTCATTATTTATGCTCATAACGAGTTCTAAGTCGTTACGCGAAATCAGAGAAGCAATGTGTATTTAACATTTAAACGATATGAATGTCGTTTTGTGTCTGGAAAATGAGGTATAAATCGTTTTAGTATAAATTTTAACTGAAACGGCTTTTAAGTCATTATTTATATTCATAACGAGTTCTAAGTCGTTAAGAAAAATCAGAGAAGCAGTGTGTATTTAACATTGAAACGATATGAATGCCGTTTTGTGTCTCAGAAACGATTTATAACTCGTTATGTTAATATGTATAATTTTTGAACTGGAACGACATTTATGTCTACTGTAACGACATGAACGTAGTTTACATTCCCTGTAATAAAATAGGAACATGAATACCTGAAATACTAAAATTTGATTCCAACGGTACAAAAATATTTCAATAACACAATGAGTACAAAATCTAATAAGTGATTTCATTCAGTTGATATAATAAGTACGAAGTCGCACAGTTACAAAACAGGATAGTGTTACAACATTAATGTTCACTACTAGCTGCTTGGCCAGTGCAAGTGGATCGAACATGACCAATTTTCTTGCACCTGCTGCACTTACGAGCCACACGCGTCTCTCCAGCCGACCTTTTCTTCTTTTTTGATGGTTGTCCGCCCTGTCTTTGTACCAATGGTGGAAATACTTCTCTGGCTATCAAATTCTTAGGAATTTGCCATTCGACCTCGTTCGGCAAAGGATATAGGAATTTAGAATAAGCTTGCTTCCAACAAATACTAGTGTAAAAGGGGGTACATAATTTATAGCCCTCGTCTCCTTTAAACCTTGCTGCAGCAATTGCATGCGCACATGGAAACTTGTCCAAATCAAATCTTCTACAAGTACATGTCATTTCGTAAAAATCCACAAAGTGGTGTTCTAAATTGTCACCAACTTGATAAATGTTCGGAGAAACCTGATTTACCTCCAATCCATTTGACTCATTATATGTCATGCACATTTTTTTCTCTAATGCTGGCGTGAGTTGGGTCACACATTTTTTTGCTTCAACATGTCTTTCATAAAATCACCTTTGTAGCATCCCACGAATATATTTTAGTAAATCAACTATGGGAAGTTCTTGAGCACTCTTCAACAAACCATTTATAGATTCCGCATTATTTGTAGTCTTGATATTGTAACGTATCCCGGTAAAATGCGCTCTAGCCCAACATTGAAAATCTTCTTCTAATAGGTACTCTTTGATGCCCTCCTTTTCACTGCATAGAGCTGTCATGTAAGACTCAAATTCGGTTACAGTATAAGCTTCTAACGCTGCCCTAAACGAAGTTGCAACATCACACCGTGGAAATTTTGTTTTCAAGTTCTTTTGCAAGTGATATGTATAATTACCATGATGAGCAAATCGAAACACATTTCTAACTCCATTTTTAATGCACTTTGCATGGTCAGATATAATCACAAGATCATCCGTATCACCTGTTATTAACCTTAACTTCTGAAAGAACCAAGTCCAGGATTCATCATTCTCCGAATCAACTACTCCCCATGCGAGTGGAAATATTTGAAAATTTGCATCCTGAGAAGTTGCTATGAGTAGAGTACCTTTCATTCTCGATGTCAAGAATGCACTGTCTACCGAAATTACCTTTCGCATTGAGTTTACGAACCCATTTATACTTGGTCCCAATGCCATAAAAAAGTACTTGAAGCGCCGATCATCATTAGTATGAATGAATGTCAGTGTACCAGGATTTTGCATCTCCAAAACATGACAATACACTGGCAATTTTGCATAACTCTCACGGGGTTTCCCACGAATTAGTCCACAAGCAAAATTTTTAGCCATGTACGCTTTAGTATAGCTTACGGTTATGCCGAACTCTCGGCGAGTGTCATTAATAATGTCCCTTGGTCTGTAAACTCGGTTGACATCTTCATACTTAGGAGCGATGTGGTTTCCAATAATCATATATGAAACATGCCTATGATCTCTGTGACGAACACTCATGGAACAAGAATGATGACCATTGTACTTTTGAACTTCGAAAATGGGACTTCCTACGATCTTGGTTGCCCGTAAGCGCCACTTGCAATTTTCATCAATACAAACAATTGTATAAGTGCTCTTATTTGACTTCTTAACTTTGTACTCAAACTAGCACTTCACAGCTAGCAACTGTAATTTTGATATTAGGTCATATTTCAATGGAAACAACTGGTTGACTCGCACATCTAATCGTTCCGAAATTTTTACTAATGTCTCGTAACAGAGCGAACTTACACTTTCAGATACAATCTGAGTACTTTCAACATCATTACCATTCACTATATCCCTACTGCAAGGTTCATGCGTGCGTAACTCAAAATTATTGTCATCTGCCACAGGAGAATTAACTTCGTCATCTACCCTTCGGGGACTATCTTCACTTACGTCAAAATCATTACAATCTATAAATATTCCATCACCATTGTCATCATTACCATCGTTGTCTGGTCGATCTTGTTCCTCCTCGTTGTTCATATTTCCAATTTGTTCACCACCATCTATTACTAATAAACATCCTTCATCACCAAAATCTTCCTGATTCTCAACAACTTTATTTAAAATACTTACAAAAAGAAAAGTTTCTGTACAGGCAGATATAAACCACTTTACGTTGTTGTCACAATCAATTATGATTGGTGCAATTGGAGCTTTAGACATTATCGGGACAAGAGCTGAAATCTCCATTTTGTATAGACTCATATCGATATTCAATGCCTCCTTAACTTTATCATATAGTTCCATGTAAGAAATTGTTTTTGCAACAAGAATATGTATTGTTTTCCCTTTGCCATTTCCAGAATACTTTCATTTCCATCCACCTTCAAGTGTCTGCTCATATTCAATTGGATAACAAACCGATATCCACACCATGTCCGTGGTGTCCATAACCTGTAACTCAACATATAAATTTCTTCAAATTTCAAACATCATACAGTATTGATAATGATATGTACGTTGTCATGGATTTCAGAAAACGATATCTAGGTCGTTCACAATTTTATAAAACGATATGAATGTCATTCTGTACTGAAAAAATCAAATACACGCTTCACATGAAAACAATGTGAAAAAAGCCAATCATCCTTCACCACTTTACATTTCACTTCAATTAATACTAAGGAATACAAATAAGGGGTAATGAGAATAAGATTGGGAAGTAATCCATTTAAAGATCCAATCAAATCATAAAATAAATTCAAAATCATTATTGAAAAATGAACACCACAAACACATATACAATAACATGAACGGATGATTCAAAACAATGGAGAAAGAAAGTGGCTGAAATATCGAAAATTTACCATACCATCTCTTCTTCTCCAAATGCCCAATAAAAAAATAGCAAGACTTTATTATTCACTTCAACCAAATGAATGTTCAAGGGAATGAGAATGAAGATTTTGTGATTTCATTAAGTAGAGAAGAAGATGATGATAAGAAAATCAGCATGGAGGCATCTACAGTGGTTGAGTCGTTCTTAGAGGAGGGAGAGAAGGAGATTAGGGTTGAAAGGAAATTGAAATGAAAATAAGGGCAATATCATCATTTCACATACAAGGATATTTTAGTCTTTTACAAATTCTATTTTCCATATTTAATAACTTTAGGCATTTCAACTAAAAGTCTTAGTTCTTGGTCTTTTTGAACAAATGTTTAGTTTGACCAAGCATTTTAAATGAATCACCCTAAGTAATTGGGAAGAAAATTTTGGTGACGAAGAGAAGAAAGGCATCAAATTTTTACGTCTTTTTCACCTCCTTAGCAATGTAAACGAGAAGTAAATGACAGTAATGTGTACATAAAGTTGAAAAATCATTGGAAATGTAGTGTTGCTGTTGCATGGACATGCCACGGGTAATGGAGCACTGGTTTGACATTTATCGTCATTGGAACAGATTTGAAACACCTCTCCCCCCCCCCCCCTTTTTTTTTATAAAATATTTCTTTTTAAACACCCCCCCCCCCCCACCCTTTTCTTATAGAAAGTTGACTCTACTAACCTCAAGTACCTTCGTCTCTTGCCTCCCATTGTGTATGTTTTTCAAGTTCATTTTTTGTTCGTGTTTGTTTGTGATTTCTCAATTCCCAAGTTCTCCCTCTTGAATATCACTTCAAAATCATCTTTACGTTCAACCATTTAGTGGTAATCATTGACAGCGAGCCTTTAACTACGATGATTGAAACTAATCCTTTGAACACCATAATTGATGTGAGCAACCCAGCTAAACTGAAGGAAAGTTCAAACAAGAAAGACACAAAAGGCAAAGAGAAGATGAACAACTCGACCATTGAAGTCTTCATGAGCACCAAAGAAATAATTGCAGCATATGCAAAAAGGTCTCTCTTCCAAACATCAGATGAAATTTTTAAAACAGACTCGAACTAAAAAAAGAAGGGTCATAAAGCCTATGAAACCAACGACATACCAATGTTCCTAGCCTTAAAAAAAAGTATAAAAATCATCTACATTACTTTTGTAGAAGTTGGCAGTCATGTAATGAAAAGCAACTTCAGCTACCTATGTATAATCCTTAATGAGGATTCCCAGCTAGATTAAAGGATTGAGAGGTTGCTTTGTTCTCTCTCTCTCTCTTTTTGTCCTTTTCAATATGAACATTGTGATTGTCACTATATCCTTCTTGTACATTTATTGTTAGTATATATGAACTTTTGTACTTTTGTGAAAGAACACTTCTGCAATCTATTAAATTTTGCACTTTCTCAAGCTTCCAAGTCTACACACTTTCCAATAGATAAATGAAGTAAGCACAATAAAGTTATATTCATATTATTATCTATTGTAATGTACAAAAAAATGTTTTATTCACAGCTTTATTTCATTGCATTTACCAACCATACAAACTGCAAAATTTAAAACATGAACTGACTACAAATTAGTTCTCGACATTACCCAACTTTATTTTCTTCAAAACTTATCAAAAAAAAAATTTTGGATGATCGTGGGTGTACAGGCTAACTTACGCGCACCTCGACTAATTTCATGGAGCCCTAAAGTTTATAACCGGGTACTAACCTCAATGGTCCTAAGGAGATTCGAATTGATGACCATTGTGGAGCAAATTCAAGGTCTGACCACTGAACTACCCCTCAGGGTTATAACTTATCAATTTCTTGTTCAATTGCTAAATTCGTATAACATTGAACGCACTAACAACACTCCCAAAATACTGCAACCTGTGTATTGAACGGGTAGAAAATTAGTAACATATTAAAAGCACCAAAACTTTGCCAAAATTCAGTATCAAGAGTCAAAATAATGGTATAAAACACATTTAGCCCATGTTTGACAATCATTATAATGAAAAATTTGGATAAAATTCATTTTGGAATAGTAGCTTTTGGGAGATTGTGTGGTTAAAAAAAAAAGAAAAATATTAATTTACGTGTAATATTATTTTATTGAATAATATGTGATTAAAAATAAATAAGAGAAAAATGTACTAAAATTTTAAAGGAAATCAAACAATGGCTTATTAGTTACAACAATCAAAAAGAAAAGTTTCTCAATCTCTGACGATTGAGAAAAAAAAATTAATTTACGTGTAATATTATTTTATTGAATAATGTAAGGTTAAAAATAAATAAGAGAAAAATGTTTTAAAGGAAATCAAACAATGGCTTATTAGTTACAACAATCAAAAAGAAAAATTTCTCAATCTCTGACGATATAAAGAATAAAGATTCATACTATCTGACAATTTGTGGCAATCTTAGGGATGACAACTTACCTCGCCCCACTCCGAATGGGGCAAAAAAAATTCACCTTGAACGGGTTGACAAGGCGGAGCGCCCTGTCGCAGGGCGAGGATGCCCTCCCCCATAAAGAAAAAATAAATAAATAATAAAAATAATTTTATTTCTAGACAATTTATCCATTAAAAAATCATTTTGAATTTGTATTTTATTCTCTAATAATAACATAATCCAAAATTTTCAAAATGTAAAAAAAAAAATAATAATAATAAATTAAAAAATTAAACGGGATAAATAATGGGGCAAAAAGTTACCCCACCCCGTTTAAGCTGGGGTGGGGCGTGGGGCCCAAACCCGCTTCGTCGCTATCACTAGGCAATCTCAAAGTAAAGACATCAACCCCAAATATCATGAAATTAAAAGCTAAAAATTTATAGCAATTACGAATCTTGGTAATCAGGTCACTAATATCATGTCAATCTTGGCATATAATCTTTTTCGATTAACACTCTCTCTACTAAAAACGGTGCCTTTTATTTGTTTAAATACTCATGACGGCTAAACCTTGTTACAATACAATACACTAATTGCACTAGTTGGCTCTTGATCTTTTCTTCATTTTTCATAATCTTCTCCTTTTTTCAACCATCCTTGAATGATGATCATACTCGGTCACTAGTTGACAATATTTGCCACCAAACATCGGATTATGAACTTTGTACTGATATTTTCAACAAAAACCTTCGTTCTCGTGTAATAAATGCAGTTGATCTGACTCAAATAGCTTTAAATTGATCGCTTAAAAACTCAAAGGATACACTGACTTTCATACTAAAAAAAATGCAGTTGAAAAAGACCTAGAAATAAGGGATCTTTATGAAATCTACAATTCTTCTTATGTGCGTGCGGTTCTTGCTTTTAAAAATTCCATGAGTGAATTTGCCAAGAGAAATTTGTTAATATTTAATTTCAATCATGCTAAGAATCGAGAATCACAAAGTAATAAATTAATAAATCGAATTCATACCTATGGAAGCCAACGTTGATATGAATAGTAGCAGCCAGATCTTCCTCTCCTTGCTCCTCACAAAAGTGTTGGCCATCAATGGAGCAAGTCAATAAAATCATATGGAGAGGAGAGGAGAATTAGCCTTTATATAGAAATTTATTTAGTCGTCTCACTATCGACTTAAACCCTAATTAGGGTTTGCACATAATTCTGGCCCACACTCAAAAATACAACATTA